ATAAAATGTTTAATTAAAAGAAATAAGTTTAATATATAGTAGATTTTTAGATGTTCGTGGTAATCAGCATGTCAATTAAGCCCAGTAGACTATATGTGGCAAATCAGCGAATTTAGTATCCTATTGTTCACCTACCGTAACCCTACAAAAGTTCGTACTGAGAGAAATGCTTATGATTTCAGTAATCGCATAGCTAATCACCCTACAAAGTAGCATTATTGCAAATCCAGGATCCTCTCAATTAAAAAAATCAGACGATTGGGCTTTTTCACCTTCTGGAAATACGTTTTCAATCACTTCTAGTTTAACAAACCCAAAATTCTTGAACAAACCATCTTTGCTCGTTTTGAGGTTGATTTTTTTGAAATTATATAAAATGTGCTGCAAAAATACAGTTTCTTTAAATATAATTAACTCTGAGAAAGCGATACGAACTTACAACCCAACAAATATATTTCTAACATCCTGTATAAAGTCAATGAATAAGATACAGGCCAAAGTTGTCATATAGAGAATGTCACAGAAACTATATAAATTCTCTTTTGTTGAAAACCTTTTCTCTACCGTATCTCTATATATTTTTTTCGCATGGGATTAACAAATTTTCATTATAAATAACTATCGAATAAGTGTTGATATGGAAGGAAATGATAGCTTTTGTGTAAATGGCCAAAAAATTTTCTTTCTTTCAGCCCGACTGTTTCGAACGCATATCGCACATGGTGGAGTCTTCTGGTGAAGCCATCATTGTAATTGGTTTCATTCTTCTTGCCATTGAAGTTTGCTCTCTTATATTTTCGTGCATCCTCTGCCGTGCTTCTCGCGAAATTCGTTATGCTGGTTACTATGCTTAAATCAACTCTGTAATTTGTGTAATATTCGAGTCAACACCATCATTTTTCGTTTACCGTTTATCTCATTCTCTTTTGCAACAGTCTGGGGATGGTGCACTTGAGTTGATTTATCATTTCATTTCCCCATGTAAATTGAGGCGTTCGTTCCCGGTATGTGCATATAACTGAAGATCTTTCCATGAAAACACTTTTATTCTGACAAATGAT